CTTCTCGACTTGCGCTTTGCGCCCCACACGCCCCACACGCCCCCCCCCTACCGTACTCCGCCCCTACCCTCTAACCAAGTCAAATCGAGGAATCAGGCCCAAAACCAACAATAACCGCTACTCCCAACAACAACAAGACAACACACAGTAAGTTTGTCATGATATTCACTGGTGTTTTGGTCGCTAATGGTGTCAATGTCTAATTTTTTTTATTATTGTCATTGGCTGGGATCACGTGACGAAAGTGAACATTTCCATCCAAGCCCCGTTTACCAAATATGATAAGAAATTGAGGTATATAATTGCGAAAATGGCCTCGCCTTTCGTATGCAAATGGCCCTCGTTCACCGTAAGCCCCCCACCACCACCTACTCCCCCGTCTCTCTCGGGCTACTGCTCGCCGACATCGCCCTCGTTTCGTCGCCTCACCTCGCACTGGGCCGCGGTCTAGCCCTCGCACGCTTGCTGTGTGCCGCCGTGCCAAGTGGGTAACAAAATTTCGCACGGAGCCGCCAAATTGGGTAGCGAGCGCCATGGCGTGGTTAGCCACAACTCAAAACGTGACCACTCACAAATAAGCCTCAGACTAATCGTCATCGGCACTACGTCGCCAGCTCTAATACTCCCGCTCGCTTCTCGAATGCTTAAACAATAAAGGCTTGGCCCGTGGCCCCATTAGGCAGACAAAAAACTCGGCCGAGGCTTGGCTCTGGCGACGAAAAAACCAACATGACTCAGCCGTGCTTGGCGACAAAATTCATGTAATATGACACTTACACTCCTCAATTAGTGGCTCCAACAGCGACGAGGACGATTGTAGGATCGATTGACTGAGCTGGTTGCTATGAATGTCTTCGTCGTTTACAAGAAGCGACTCCCTACAAATTGGTCAATTAGTCATGTAACCTGCGACTTCGATTCTTCAGTCTAAGTACATGATGTGGTACCTGCTGATCTGCCCGATACCCGCCAATCGACGTGGCAGCGACAAGCCCCAGGCGAATGTCTGGTCGAATTGCCATGAACCTAGTAAAATAAACCTCCAATTCTTGAGAAGTAGGCTTGAAGCCGTGATCATGGCCTTATCCAGAAGTCAATTCATGGCCACTTAGTACACCCCGGTGATTTGACCATGATGTCGGCTAAAGCAGGAGACCAGAAGAGTGGAAGGTTCACCAGCTCACGATGTGCTGAAAGAGCCTCCGTTATGTTTCCTAATCTTTGATTCACACGAGAACTATATCTGTCAAATACTTGCTAACTATCAACTCAGAAGGATAATGTCACCACCGTTTGTGAACCGCCTTTGTTCACGGTGAAGCTGAGGGCATCACGCTCGACGGTGGAGGCAGTGACGTTGGCGTCGGCGAAGATCATGGTGGTTTCGTCGATGAACGCGTCGATACTGTCGTCCTCAGCACAAAGCCGTTTCTCGACCTCGCCAAACACCCGCCAGAGGTGGGTGTGGTCGACCGGGCTAAGCGGTTGATACGACAGATAGATCTCCTCAAGGCGAAGCACAAGGTCGCGTCTGAGCTCGCGGACGCCAATATTCATGGCGGCGTGGGCCGCCGCGAGCTCGAGCGGGGAGGCACAGGGGTTGGTGAGCTTGTGGGAGTACTCAGCAAACACATCGTCTCCGGCGCTAGCAAACGCCGCCAACGCCGCCGTGACCATTTGGTCAAGACGGGCCCCCTCGGCCTCGCTCGGGGGCATCCGGCGGAACATGTTGACGAGCTTTTGCGCCATGTAGCTGGCGACGCTGTCGCTGGTGGCGGTGGCGGTGTCGGCCCGGTACCGCTTCACCAATATGAGGTACTTGAACACACACTGGCGGTCGTGGCCGGTGGGGAGCGACTGCAAGAACCGGCGGAGTTGGGGCGAGTCGAAGGCGACGGCGGGGAAGAGCGACATCGGCGTAGCGAGGATAGTATCGCCACCGGGGGCGAACATGGTCCCCGGGGGAGGGCATCGTCAGCCCCGTCGCCGTGCGTATGGGCGTGCCCCTCGCGCATTGCATCGTCTATCGGCGGCATCTCCGCGGGCAAAATACGTGCGGGTAGCCTGCCTATTTCGGCGAGGGATAACCCCTCGTCGAACCCACGACAATGGCGATTATCGACGCAACCATAGCCCGAACAATGAAGGAATGTGCTTGGACCACACCTGGTTGTGATCCCCGCCCTTCTTTCATCGGCAATGGCGACATCTGGCGGTATTGTCTTGAGATCGTCCTAGTTGTCGTAGGCGGCTACGGAGGAACGGCGGGCGTATTAATTAACAATGCGAGAGAGAGAGAAGATGCAGATACCTCAGGCGACGGCGGCGGTCATCACCACCCAGTCGAAGGGGTCGAACGGCCCCCGCGGCGTCGGCGGGGCGAGACGGGCGTCGACGACGCGGCGGAGCACCGCCATCACCTGCGGGGCCACCTCGCGGGCAATCACCACCCAGAGGGTGTGGACGTCCCAGGTGTCGGTGGCGGCGTCTACGAGGTCTACCAAGAGGGCGGGGTGGACGACTTCGTGCTCGAGGAGCACCCACAAATGCTTGGGCCCCGGCGCCAGCGGCGCCACGCCCCCGGTGTCGGGGGCGGCGCCGGCGGTGCACCAGCCACTGGCAACCACGTGGGCGGCGCTGCCCACCCAGAACTGGACCAGGGTGGGCTGGTTATGGCGAATCGCGACGTCAAAGACAGTACTGGAGCCGTGGAGCCGCTCGCATGTTGGCGTGGCCGACACGCGGTTTCAGCATCAACGGCTGCGAGATATTCACGGGGACAAGATTCATGGGCAAAATAGACTAACAGCGACGGCGGCAGCGGGCAACAAAGCCTAGGGAGGGCGGAGGGTGGTGGGGGAGGAAAACAATTGATGATCGCGCGCGGAGAGAAAAAAGGCCGGTGATGGCATCGGAACTTGCTTCACACACGCATCACCAGACGCTTTGAGGATAACGATGGCGAAGAAGATTCTGAAACACTCGCGGGCGGCGCGCCGGGGGCTTATTGACGATGGGGTGGCGCTGGACTTGGCCAAGCTCCCGAAGGCGGAGCCGGAGGCGGTGAGAAAGAGCATCATCCGTACCACCATCACCAACGAGAACCTTTTGGTGAAGAAGATGGAGTTGTCCAAGATCAAGAAGCTCCAGCCGAAACGCCACACCCGCCAGGTGAAACGCCAGGTTGCCGTCGACAAGCTGGGGGTGTTGCTGGCGAAGATCGCCCAGTCGGTGGCGCGGGCCCGGATGGTGCAAGCGGCGCGTAAGGCAGGGTGGGACCAGATCAACAAGGCGGCCAGAGCCAGTGTCGACCTCGACCAGCTGCTGGTGGCGAAACCGGCGGTGCCACTGGCGGCGAAACTGGTGTCGGGTGACTTTATGGACGAAGACATCCACGACGACGCCGCCGCGAGCCCCGCTGACGACGAGCCCGCCGTCACCTTCGCCAAAGCCGCCAACCCGTTTGCGTCGCTTGAACAAGACGAAGAAGCTTAACGACCGTAATGATTAGACAAATAGAGAATATAACGTAAGCGATACTTATCACTAGTTTAATTGATTGTTTAGGTGACACCAGTTAGGGTTGATGGTGGTGAGGTGATGCGCGCTTACCTGCAGTACCACCCCCCCATGGGCGATATAAAGGGCGCGCCCCGCCATCGCATCGATTTCTTCACTCATTTTTGTGGGTGGGTATTATTGTAGGGCGTCGGTCGCATCATGCTCCACGACTGCTGCTCTCTACAACCCACTCTAGAACGACCAGCAACCGGGTTCTCATTGCGGCGGGCGGCTTCCAGTGCCCGGCACAAGGTACCTAGTGACACAAATCCTACGCCTACGACACCACTCAGCGTCCGTAATCGCCTGTATTTCGGAGTCTAAACATTTATAAGCGGTCACCACATCCGGAGCCGGCACTTGTCCTTCAACACCATCCCCATGTGCGCCTCGACGTCCGGGGGGTACTTGGTGTCGGCGTTGGCGACGTGGGCAAACTCCTGGACGAGGCGGGTGGTGACGTAGGCGACCTCGGTCACGGCAAACTGCTGGCCCAAGCACACGCGGGGGCCGCCGCCGAACGGGACAAACGCCCACGCCAACTTGCGGGTGTCGGGGTCGAACCACCGCTCGGGGCGGAAGCTGTCGGGATCAGGGCCAAACACCGCCGGGTCGTGGTGGGTCAGGTACACCAGGATGACGATCCCCTGGTGCTTGCGCACCACCATCGCCAGCTGGCCGTCGACGCCGCCCCCGCGAGGCAACGTCGTGTCGCGGGTCGCCTCGCGGGTGTTGGTGGGCACCACCGGCCACATCCGCATCGTCTCGTTGATCACCGCCTTGAGGTACTCGCACCGCTTGAGCAGTTCGAAGGTGATTTCGTCGACGCGGGCGTCGTCGCCGACGCCGAAATGGGCGGCGATATCGTCGCGGAGGCGGGCGTACACCTGGGGGTTGCGGGTGATCTCGTACCAGAGGAACAGGAGGGTGCTCATCGTGGTGTCTCGCCCGGCCAAAAGCATCGAGAGGAGCTGGTCGCGGATGACGACGGCGTCCTTCGTCACTTTGGCAAACTCATACAAAATGGTGTAGCTGTGTTGGGTCAACTGGTCGAGGTCGTCGTCGCTATAGGCGAGGGCGCGAGCGACGTGGATATCGGTAAACCGTTTGATTTCATCACAGGCGTCGCGGTAGCGGCGCGGGGTGACGAGCCACGCCACTTTCGACAACACCACCCGCAACGTCGAGAACTTCATCGCCGTGAGCACCAGGTCGTTGAACCGCATCCGCTGCTGTTTAAACAGGTCGGGTTTCCCCCCGGGGCGCCCGTCAAGCTGCGAGAAAAACAGCTCGCCAAATAAGAACTCGGTGGCGGTGTCCTGGGTGAACTTCATAAAGTAGTTCATCGCCTCAAACGGCTCGCCCTCGGTCTCGCGGATAAGCGCCACCAACGTCTGGATGTGGGGCTCGAGCGCCTGGACGTGGCCCACTTGTTCCTTGGTAAACTGGGGGCGAAGCAACGCCCGCAAGTGTTTCCACTTGGGCCCGTCCATCGTGAACACCAGCTCGCCCAAAAACGGCTTGAACCCGGCGTAGCGGCCGGCGAGGCCAAAGTCGTCAAACTGGGTGGCGAAAAGCGCCTTAAAGTTCTCGGGGTCCTTGGTGATGATCACGGGGTTCCCCGCCAACCACGTCTCGACGGTGCCGACGCCGTCGACGGACCCCACCTGCTGCTGCAACCAGAACACCATCTGGTACACCCGTTTCTCCACCACCATCGCGTAGAGGTTGCGGAAGCCGAACCACCCGTCCAGCAACCGCACCGTGGGCGCCGTCGCCCGCAACTTACGCTGGAGCCGGCGGCTGTAGACTTGTTGCACGGCAAAGTAGGCGACGGTGGCCACGGTGAGGATCACGTACCACTTGAAAGCGTACTCCGAGTAGTCGATGACGATTGAATCTGGCGACTCCATGGCAAAATCAATCACACTGATAGATTTATTTGAGACTGAGGGAAGGTACGCTTAAATATTGGAGCCTGAGACCAGTGGCACATGCCAATAAACCCAGGGACAACAACAGCCAAGACTTGCCAAAACCGAGACACCAGCGGGGAATCGAGGGGTGACGGTGGCAAGGGTTTGGCGAGACCCTGGCTCGGAGTGCGCTGGTCTCCGAGCCGCGGGGTAGCGGCAGCCCCCCTACTGATGGGTACAGCGTATGCAGGTTTCCCCTCCGCCAGAGACACCGCTTATGGTGAGACTTATCACCGCCACTGCTCCAGCCCCTTCTAGCGTGAACCTACGCTTTAAACGCTTTAGATTCTATCTTACTAGCAGCCACCCTTATTCACTAAGTGTTCTTAACCACTAAATTACTAAGTGCTCTCATCCACTAAACTGACAAAGTACTCCCCCAGTGTAACCGCACATGGCAGATTTAGAGCTTTAATTTTTGGAATATATCGAGTCCTGATGATATCCTACTTTATTGAGTCCACCCAAGGTTACTCCTCTCGTAACTGAATCCCATTCCCATCGTGATCATCACATCCATCCCCTCGCACCCTTTTTGGGACAAAAGCTTATCTTTTTAGATCGAGCCTCAAACCTCCCATGGCGTTAATAGCGTTCGATCAACTTAACGTCGTCGGTAGTCCCTTGCAATATCCCTTGTAAAATCCCAGTCTCCTGTCTCTACATACACCATGCTTGCCGCGTTCCCTCGCTTCGCCGTTTGTGAGCACTGACCGGTGGCACCTGGCAATTTTTGTCGTGAGTGCGATAACGCTAGATTGTTGGCCCTCTGACCCCACGCCCCCCACTCCTTCCGTGGCTCTGCTGCCTCCGCCCCTTCACCTTCCTTTGCCGACCTCCAGGGAATGACGCCCCCCATATACATCAAAATGGAGCCCGTCCGCAAGTCCCCCGACGACCACCCGGAGCCCGAGTTCCGCCCGCAATCTTGCGGCAAAGACGCCGCCGGCAGACTCATCCCGCTGACGCTGAGCATCCTGCTATTGAACCTCAACAACGACATCCCCCGCCTGCCGTCGATGATGATGCTGCCCCAGCCGTCAGACCGCAAAAACAGCTTCGCCCACCACCAGCGCCTCCACCACTACCGCTCCGTCTACCTGCCCCCCAACGACCAGCCGCTGCTGCCAGTCGCGGTCCCCGACTCCCCCAGCCTCGACCCCACCCTGCTTGGCGGGCTGCCGCCGCTGCGGCTTTGGCTCTCGCTGCTGGCAGCCCCGGCGACGGCGGCGGGCGAGGCGCCGCTGCCATCGCCGGCGTCAGTGCCAGGGTTCCACCAAGTGCGCCAAACGGTATATATACGCACGACGCCCAAGCCGGCGATGCTGCCGGTGCTTTTCCCCGTGCAGACGCCCCTCGAAGAGCCCCCCATCACCCCGCTCACCCTCACCCATCTGGGACCGACGTGGACGTCGTATTTCGACGACGTCATCGAACTGGCCAACGAGTCATAACCACCTTGGCAAACTACCGATCACTGGTCGAATCTTTGTTCCCAACCACCCACGCTCGCATACTTTCAGTACACCTTTGGCACCGTGATACTGACGAGGACATCGGCAAGCCCCGAGGGAGCCGGTAGCCGCTCTGCTGCCACCATATCCCAGCGGGGCCACGATGCCTTAAGTGCGACATCAACAATCCTGTCTAATATAGCCCTGTAATGAACGTAGTCATTGGTCCTCAAAATGTCAAGGTTGTCAATTTACAAGTAATCGGGAATACTCACTTAAATGACATGGGTCTAAATTACGCTACAACTAATCGCTTTCGTAAACCATAAGGATTGCTGTGGATTGGTTCTCGCAAGGATGTTCACACTTGAGCCAATAAAGAATACCATCATTGATAACTGGTTCTAGCACAATCTTAACAGCAACAGCGCATGACAATACCTAAAAATTTGCTAATTAACAATACCACCGTTAGTTAACGCCGACAACCAGCGTCCTCTTCTGAAAAAACACACATAACCACACAAGAACACCAGTAAGGGTATAATGAATACTGTGACGATAGTATCTAACTGTGCACGAGTGTTTGTAACCTTTGGGTGAGAGGGGAAGGTGGATTACAGCAATCTTGAACAAGGAATTATTAATGACTACGTCGAATTGATCATTTCACTTCCAGTCCCACACAGACGAACGCATCCGCTGAAGCTCGAAAAGCCATCGGTCATCGTCTTTACTGACCATCAACTGCTCCTAAGTTGGTTTTTGGATATGTCACTTAAATATTCATGGGGGCAAAGTCTTCAATCAAATTCAGTAGAAATCTGTAAACACTGTGACTTAGCAGACAAATCCACAAGTACACGGTGGTTGCTGCCTTTCATTGTCAATGCGTCTTGCAACGTCAAGTATGCAGTTTCAACACTGTGTGTTTTACTTTGTCCCCGAGATTGTGTGGGTAGTACTTGATCTTCACGCCTGCAACTCTCATGCCTGCACACAAGGGTTGTATATGCAGAAAATACGAAAAACTTTAACCAAGTTCTTCCGTGCGGCAAATGATACCCTAGAAGAAAACAAACAACATCACTGTAATTTTTAGTGTTCAAATAACATTTACGACAGCAATGGGAATTTTCGGAATTTTCTTCTAAAAAAAACTTAAAAGTGTGATATAAAATCAGAAAAAATTGACAAACTCATTCCATTTGCTCCGTGAAATTTGTTGGCACTGAAAGTATACCTGATGCGATTTCAGAACAGCTGACTTCAAAATTGGCGTTTCTTTGTGAGCTTAACAGAGGAAAAAAAACTTTTTCCTTTTTTGCAAATTTGTTTTTGGACGACTTTGAGTTTGTGGCGTAGTCTATTACATCTAGTGAGCATTGGAATTGATCTGCAATGTTTGTAGAAGTGATAGGATAGGTTTTACACCTCGTCTATCATGATGTTCGTATGCAGGTGCATCAACAAATATGCAAGACAAAACAAGGTGAGCTGTATCACGCACTAGCAGAGTAACTAGTCCATTTTAACAAGCATCATTGTCATCTGGAGACATGTCTATTTAGTTTAAAGACTTTAGATAGGTGCTGCCACTGATGCTGACACTTATATTACGCTTTCAAGTTTGGAGTTCTGCACACAAGCACTGCATGTGCATATCATTCATGATTTTTCAATGATGTTTTTCATCACCTAATTGAACCTGAGAAAAACTCAAATTACACCACTGTGATATTATGGGACAAATATGATTTATAACAGCAAATGGGATTTTTCTGAATTTTCTAGTGAAAAACTATAAAATGTGCTATAAAATCAGGAAAAATTGCTACAGACTTCCCGAATGCTTCATAAAATTCTTTGGCACCAGAAGTATGGTAAATAAATATCTGGGCAAGTTAACGTTCGATTTGACGTAGTTTCAAGTATGGCACCCTACTTGCAGAATTGATCGTTGTATGCAGTACTCATGATAATCGTGGCACCCCTAACTGTAAATCATGAGTAGATCAAAATTTACAATTTTGATGGGCTATAATACCGGCTATAAAACTTTCATGACCTTAACCAAAAAAGTGACATACTTAGGGCGCTTTTATGTGCGTTCTCGTACGAATCCTGCATGTAGTAAAAAACTTCAAATCGATCTTTTGCCATCAACAGAACAAATTAAGTGAGTTCCGAATCCAAATCTATGATCGGCACAGCTAGATTATATGTATAAGAGCAATTAGAAGATCTTCGGAGAGAAAAAAAAAATTGGAAAAAAAATTTGAAATAAAAATTTGAAATAATTTCTTTGACGAGCGGCGCAGTATGCAGGAGTCTAAAAAAATAAGAACGAAAATTTAGACGAGTGGCGCGCGCCGGTATATGCAGGATTTAATCGGCTCAGTTAACCCGCTTAACGGTTTATTCATCTTAAACGTTTTCACCAAAAGTGCTATCTCAATCCAGAATTGGTATCCGGTTCAAGTGCTTGCGTACCATCATCAGATGGGAATTATCCTGCACCAACGTGAGACTCATTATATTTCTCGCAAGTGGTTTACGACATAAGAGATCATGGTTAGATGTAATTTTGTTTCCGACTCGGAAGGTTTAACGCCATTGTATAGTATTCCTATTCAGCTATCAGAGGTTTCCTATATAGATCACAATAGTGCTTTCAGACTTTGAAAGGCTGGCACAGGGGTGAAAGTTGAGTCAAATTACAATGATAATGGCTAATTGGTGACCATTTGGTGATGGGATGACTTTTAAATAGTGATCATCAACGAGACTAAGAAGTTGGCCATTACGATCCCTCCTAAACGAACAAAAACAGACAAGCTGTGTTTAAGTGCGCCGCCAGCATCTCCCGAGACTCTAATACTGACGATTGTCCTTTTCCAGACCATGGTTGAAAGTAGACCAATAGCTTGACCAACCAGGATTGTTGTAGTATAATCCTTCTGCCGCCGCGGGTCGTCCTTTGAAATATGCGAATTTTGGTATTTGAACGACCTAAACTCAACATTTGAGGATTGCACGACTTTGCATTTTGAACTCCATTCAATTTTAGCACATTCTTTATGAGTGACAATCAGTAAAATGCTTTCATTCACTGAGCAATGGCCAATATGTAAATCTATGAAAACCTTTCGTGGCACCATATCAACAACATCATACTGCAGCATGAGAGGCGGTACGGGTCCGGTAGTCGCGGGCAGAACGCAAGGCGTTGTCGCCAAACTAGATTGTCTGAAACGCCACCACGGAGCGATTTGCCGCCACACTAACGACGATAGGATATCATTGTACCAGGGGGGATTACCTAATCGATTTACTGTTTCCTCATCCGAGAGCCAATTACCTAATCGACTTACGGTTACCTGATTTAGTGTGGCTCATCCCCGTGCCTTTAAAACTAGGGGATATTTTTCCTGCACATAATTTAAGGAACCTGCTCCCCATATAATGGTTGCTTTGGCCCGACACCCTCCCCCATGACTCGTGGCCGGGAACACACCCTCTACCATCAGTGGCGGTTCGGCACGCCTCCGCCCGCCGCCGACGCCACCCCCGTCATGGCATTGACCAGTGACCCGTTACCGATTTTCCATGAAAAGCACGCGCTGGCGAACACGCCCAAACCCCGCTGCCGCCGGTGGCTAGCGTGGGGGTGGTGGCTCGCTGTGAGTGTGCTAGTGGTGTACCAGGTGATCGTGTGGTCTCATGTTGAAAATCCGGCGTCAATCGCTACCGCCACGCCAAAGTTATTGGCGAGTGATGACCACGGTGACGGCGCGTCCGACTACTTTAGCGTCCAGTACCCGTTTATCAAGGACAATTGGCAGCTTGTCGACTCCGCCACGGTCATCAAACACACGTTCAACCACCTGTTTGGCCACCCCGCCGAGGGACAATGGCACCCACCGCAAGACGACGTCGCCTATAACCGAGCCGTCCTCGAGCTTGATGTCACCGTCGACGGCGTCCAGTACGACCGGCTTGTCAACGTGTTCATCGGCGATGTCCAGGTGTGGCGGTCGCTGACAATTGAGCCCGGGGGGAAGCAAGTGCACTCGACGGCAGTCAAAGACATCACCCGCTACCTTCTGTTGCTTAGGCACGACCAGCCCATCACCGTGCAACTCGATAATGTCGTCGATAAAAACCTCACGGGAGCGTTTGCCACAAAATTGACGGTCCAGTTGTACCAGGTCGACGACACTAACGGCATTGACCGCGACTTAGGCCAGCAGCTTTTCGCCACTCACGGCGCCGCTAGCCGCGTGTACCCGCTTAAAGTCGATTCCCAAGCCCGGTTGCCAGTTCGCTTACTTCCTCAACAGCCGTTTGAGCTTCCGTTGCCGCTGGTCGACCACAACACGACGCTGTTGCAACTCGAAATCTTCGCCCTGGGCAACGCCGACGAAGAAGACTGGTACAGCAACGTCCTTGACCGGTTCAGAAAAGTGGTGAAAGGGCTGTTTGGCCACGGGCCGGCGCGGTTTATCCGGGTCCGCGTCGGTGACGACATCGTCGCCGACATCGCCCCGCCGCCAGTGATCTTCACGGGAGCGGTGCTGCCGGCATTGTGGCGCCCCGTGGTGTCGCTGACGGCGTTTATTGTCCCGTCAACGTCGGTGGACTTGACGCCGTGGTTGCCGTTGCTTTGGCACCACGCCACCACGGATGGCACCCCTGACGTCAAGATTGAAGTAGTCAATGGCGAAGGGAAATCCGTCGGCAACAACTGGATCACCACCGCTAATGTTTTGGCCTACCAGCACGCCGACGTCACCGCGGCTAAAGGGACGTTTGGTGGGGTTCACCACAAAACCGACCACCACCAGCACGGCCACCAGCCCGGGAAAGGGGCCTACACGCAAAAGGTGAACGTCACCAAAAAACTGAGACTGCTGGCGTACTTGGAGTTTACGTTGAACGATGCCGACCCGTTAAAGCTCAACTATACTTCGGTGACCAAAGCCGAGGTGGTGAACGTCCAGCGCTACCAACACGGTTTCCGCAACCAGCGCATCCTCCACGTCACCGATACCGTCGACCGGGTCCATGCCGAGCTGGTCGGCGACGGCGATGTCGAGTATTCGCTTGCGGTGAAGGGGAGGGACGTGCTCCATCTCCGCTACCGCTACCTTACTCCTGACGACGACGACGAGACCAAATTCAAAGTGGCGCTTTCCACTACTCGCCAGTTGTCAGTGGACGCCCGCAAGATGTCCCACGAGGTGCTGGAAGTGCAGACGGGGGCGCTGGAGTTTGTGGTGAGTCCTCGGGGCAACCACGGGCGGGGGTCGCTCGACACCAACTTGCAGGTGACGCTGAAGATCGATGGCACTAAGCACAAGTATGCGCGAGTGGTGCTGGTGGTTGACGGTAAGGTTAGGCTCGATATTGAAGGTTGATTAGATTTTGAATAAATGTACTGCAGATAAGATCGGTAGAATGTACTGCAGATAAAGTCGACCCTGCACAAATGATCACAACGGCTCGGACGTACTGCAGACAGTTGCGAAAAAGCAAAAAGCTAGCGCGACAGCGCGCCGGACATCGGCTACCGGTCTCTACCCGCCGCCAATGAATATATCGCCCCCTCACATCCCATATAGGCGTTTCTCGGAAACCGTAAACGTCTGTACTGGTAAACGTAGCCAGTTACCACCAGAAAAGTAACCTAAATCACTGTAGGTACTCTCCGCCGATGGGGGGTGTGGCCGATGGCCCGCGCACCGGGATAAATGCCGCTCGCCGCTCTCCGGACCCGAAACTAGCTACCCTACCACCAACGTTACGCCGCCATGGTGCTCAACAAGTTAAGAGGCAAGACCCAGGACCACGGGAGCGACCACAAAAGTGGGCCCGTGGTGTACACCCCCTTCGACCACCCCAGCGGTGCCCTGAAGGTGCCGGCGGAGGCGAAGCTCAGCGACACCCAGCTCGACAAGTACCAGCAAGTGTACGCCCACTTCGCCCTGGCCGACATCAAGGTGGCGCTGCTGGAGGAGACCCACAAGCACAAGGACCCCAGCCACATGCTGCCGCTCACCGACGCCGAGAAGGCGTGGTTGACCCGCGAGTGCTTTTTGCGCTACTTGCGGGCGACGAAGTGGGTCGTCGCCGACGCCATCGACCGCATCGAGCTCACCCTCGCCTGGCGCCGCGAGTTTGGCGTCGCCGGCAAGTTTGAGGCCGACAACGTCGTCAACGGCAAGTTGTGTCTGGAGGAGAACGAGACGGGCAAAGAGGTGATCCTCGGGTTTGAAAACGACCTGAGACCGTGCCTCTACCTTAAGCCAGGGCGGCAAAACACCAAGACGTCCCAGCGCCAGGTCCAGCACTTGGTGTACATGTTGGAGCGCGTCATCGACTTTATGCCGCTGGGCCAGGACCAGTTGGCGTTGCTCATCGACTTTAAGGCGCACCCCGTCGGCACCCAGGGGGGCAAGATCCCCCCCGTGAGCATTGGCCGCCAGGTGCTCCACATCTTACAGACGCACTACCCCGAGCGGTTGGGGAAGGCGCTTTTGACCAACATCCCCTGGCTCGGGCGCACGTTCATGAACATCATCTACCCGTTCATCGACCCGATGACGCGGGAAAAGCTCGTGTTTGACCAGCCGTTCCCCAACTACGTCCCCGTCGAGCAGCTTGACCAGGACTTTGGCGGCGACGTCAACTTCGAATACGACCACGCCAAGTACTGGCCGGTGATGGTGGAGATGGCGGAAAAGAAGCGCCAGCGGTACTACGAGCGCTTCGACAAGTTCGGCAAGAAGGTGGGCCTCTCCGAGATCGACTTGCGCGGCGACGGCGACGACTTGGTCCACCCGGTGTAACCCCCAGCATACCCTTTAATAGACTAATTAGACACTTGTTAATATGATCCCATCAATTGAAGCTATATGAGCCCTCTGAGCTGAGCACCGCTACCCTTTTGGCGTACCCTCACAGGACCCAAATCGAGCACGACGACGCCTTCAGCACCAACAGCACCCAGAACACCCGGAGGGCCTAGCTCAAACCTGGTGTACATCATATCAGGCACAGAATCTACAACATTGGTTAGCGCTTGGCCTCGATATTCGCCCAGCTGTGGGCTTTTCCACGGTCAGTGGCCTCCTTCTGTACAGTACATTGACACCACGCTCCCCTACTGATGGCTAAACGGCCCCCTCCGGTGGCCAGTGCAAGCCAGGGGTGTCCCCAGAGCCTTGGAGCTTGCGTCCACGTCCAAACCGCGGCGTTCTACCGCCACAAGCGTACCACCGGGGCCCACTGAGCTGGCCACAGGGAACCTTCGCAGGACCCAAATCGAGCACGACGACGATTTCAACTCCGATAGCACCCAGAACACCCGGAGGGCCTAGCTCAAACCTGGTGTACATCATATCAGGCACAGAATCTACAACATTGGTTAGCGCTTGGCCTCGATATTCGCCCAGCTGTGGGCTTTTCCACGGTCAGTGGCCTCCTTCTATACAGTACATTTCTGGCTAAACGGTCCCCTCTGGTGGCCACTGCATGTTATGGGTGTCCCATATCTTTCGAGCTTGTGTCTACGTCCAAACCGGCCACCAAAAGCGTACCATCGGGGCCTTATAGGCACCGCTATATCAGCATTGGTGAGTGCTTGATTTCGATATTCACTCAGGTTTCGGTAATTCTCAGTTTTTGCTTAATTTTTGCATGAATTGAATGGGATGGCTGAGAATCAAATCTGACACTAAAACATTGTGATAATCACTGTGTGGTAGAAAAATAGTAATAACCATTCTTAAAAGCATCACCTTAAAGTATATCCCATTCGTCTACTGTCCTAAGTATCCCCTCGTGCCAGCATATACACTAACCACCATTAAGCCAATATATCGATACTTTAATTTGCAAGCTTGAGTGTTATACCCAGATCAAGATAATCCGATTACTGCCTTCTAGTCAAAGATAATGCCATCGGCTTTATTATCCAATTTTTATTTATAATCGTCGTTATCCTCCAATTTTTTTTATGGTAGTAATCACGGTCTCATCGCGGGCTTACGACGAAAACCGCGCATCGCATCTCCTTCCAAATCCACGATGTCGCTAGTGCTCTTTGTCGCGTGTGTAGCGGTGCACTTGCTCAGCGGCGGCCGTGTGTCGGTGGCGGCGGCCGCCTCGGTGGCGGTGTGGATGTACTCTCGCCACCGGTTGTTGTGTGAGCCGTGCAACGGCAGCGCCGCCCCCATGGCGGCCAAAGCCAATGGGACCCCCACTAAACTGGGCGTCGACCGCCCCATATACGCTGTCGACTTCACCGGCAGTATTCCCGAAGGTACTACCAGTCTCCCCCAGCCGCTGAAGCCGAGGAAACTCCGGACCCGGCTGGCTAAAGCGACACCGAAAGTGATCAAAGCCCGCCACCCGCTCGACGTCGCGTTGACCCGGCGCCCGATCTACGTGTTCTACACGACGTTGACGGGGCTGTCGGAACGGGTGGCGAAGCAGATGTTTGACACGTTGACGCTGATGGCGCAGGATAACGACGGCCCCTTACCAAAGCTTCTTTCCCTCGACGACGACGTCGACGAGCTCGAAGAGTACTTCCTCAAACTGCCGAAACACGCCATCTACGTGTTGGTGCTCCCGCTGTACGAGACGGACCTGCCCATCGACTACTTCCTCGAGCACTTGAAGGACGTGGCCCAGGACTTCCGTGTCGACAAGTACCCGCTCCGCCAGGTGCTGTTTGCCGTGTTGGGGCTCGGCGACCGCGAGCTGTGGGCGGACAAGTTCTGCTACCAGGCCCAGCTTGCCGATAAGTGGATGGGTAAGCTTGGGGCGCAGCGGCTATTCCCGTTGGGCCAGGTGTGCTTAAAGAATGACGGCGAGCCGGCGGCGCACCAGTGGCTGTTTAAGTTTGCCCAGATGATTCAGGAAAACGCCCCCGTGATGGCACTGGTCGACAGCGACGACGACGACGGCGACGGCGCCGAAAACGGCGACGAAGACGGCGCCGACGTCGAGGACCTCCTCGCCACCGTCACCACCAAGGAGATGGTGGCCAAAGACTCGCCCACGTTTAAGCTGCTTACGAAACAAGGGTACACCATCGTCGGGCTGCACCTGGGGGTGAAGATCTGCCGGTGGACGAAGCTGGCGTTGCGGGGGCGGGGGCTGTGCTACAAGTACGCCTTCTACGGGATCCGCTCCCACTTGTGCATGGAGACGACGCCGTCGTTGGCGTGTCTGAACAAGTGTGTGTTTTGCTGGCGCCACGGCACCAACCCGGTGGCGAAGCTGAACTGGCGATGGACGGTGGACCCCCCCGACGAGGTGCTTGCCGGCGCCCTCGCCGGCCACTACGCCAAGATCAAGCAGATGCGCGGGGTGCCGGGGGTCCAGATGGACCGGTTCGACGAGGCGTTCACCGTGCGCCACTGCGCCCTCCTGTTGGTCGGGGAGCCGATCTTCTACCCCCACATCAACGAGTTGACGGCGATGCTCCACGCGAAACACATCTCGCTGTTCTTGGTGTGCAACGCCCAGCACCCGGCCCAGTTGCGCGCGTTGCTGAGGGTGACCCAGCTCTACGTGCTGATCGACGCCCTGACCAAGGAAGAACTCAAGCGCGTCGACCGCCCGCTCAACCTGGACTTCTGGGAGCGGCTCACCGAGTGCTTGGACATCTTGCGCACGGCGCAGAGCCACCAGCGCACAGTGTTCCGCCTCACATTGGTGAAAGGGTTCAACATGGGCGACATCGCCGGCTACGCCGACATGGTCGAGCGGGCGCGCCCGTCGCAGATCGAGGTAAAGGGCGCCACCTTCTGCGGGCTGTCGCAGGCCAACGGCAACCCGTTGACCATGCAAAACATCCCCTTTTGGGACGAGTGCCAGCGGTTCGTGCGCGACTTGGAAACCGAATTGCAAAAGCGCCAGTTGCCCTACCAGTTGGCGGCGGTGCACGCCCACCTGTGCTGTGTGTTGCTCGCCGACACCAAGTTTAAGATTGATGGCCAATGGCACACCCACATCGACTACGCCAAGTTTTTTAAACTCCTAGAGCTGGGGGCGCCGTTTGTCGACACTGACTACGTCGCCCCCACGCCGCCGTGGGCGGTGTGGGGGCTGGCCGAGGGCGGCTTCAACCCCGAGGACACGCGGTTTGACCGCCAGGCGGAGAAGGCGAAGCGGCGCCAGCAGCGGGAACAGGCCCAGCAGCGGGCGGCGGCGGCGGCGGCGGCGATGGCGTCGGCGTGAACGCGACGAACTTTCGTCGCCACGGCGAGTGTGGGCCAATCGTAGCCAGGGCGAATCAGTTGTGTTTAATTTTTTTTTTCGCGACTATATGCAGTCCGAGTGGTGCGATCGTGGTGCCCCAGCGAAAAAAACTGGCAACCCTCACTTCCCTCCCTCTTTCGAAGTCAACCAACCACATCCCACGATGCACGCCTCGAGAATTCTTTTGCAAGCTGCCGCCAAGAAGCAGGCGAAGAAGACGCCCGTCCCCGTCGAGTTGTACCCGCTTTTCGCCGCCGTCGGCGTCGCCATCGCCTCGGGGTGCTTCTTCACCTACCGCCACTTCGCCCACGACCAGCAGTTGAGATTGTGGGAAAACCCTAACCTTTCCAAGCTCGACGAAGTGTTGAACGAAAACACCGAAAAGAAGGAATAAGCCCATTGCATGTTATAATACACACACCCCTACTCGAGAACCCGTAGCAACTCGCAACTTTTAGAATTAATTCTACGATGAAACAATTGGTGAAACAATTGGTGAAACATTAATGAAACATAGATGATACAATTGTTGAAACATAGGTGATACGATTGTTGAAACATTGATGAAACAAATGGTGAATTCATTGCGGATGCTATATACAGTTAGTCGCGGATGTTGCTGTAGTAGTCGACGACGTCGGGGACGTTGTCCAACTCGTCGAGCGCCTTGGCGAGGGGCTTGCCGAAGTCGTCGGGGACGTCGACGACGCTGGCGGCGTCGGCGATGTAGCTGGTGCGCAGGTCGCGCAACTTGTACCCGCGCCCGCTGAGGGCGTTGGCGACGTGGTGGAGGTCCAGCGGGTCGGTGACGACGCGGAACAAGCGGGCGTCGCCGTACTCGTCGGCGTCGTGGTACTCGTCGACGTCCTCGGCGCCGATGTCGATGGCCACATCGACGACGTCGTCGACGGTTTCGTCGGGTTTGGGGTCAAAGATCACCTCGCCCTTGCGCTGGAACAAGTACATGCACGGGCTCAAATTGGCGCCCATCTTGCCCATGGCGTTCTTGACCTGGGACACCGTGCGCGCCTTGTTGTCGGTGTTGGCGACGACGACAAACAGCACCCCGTGGGGGCCGACGAACTCGTAGGTGACCTCGGCGAGCAGGGGCCCGTCGCGGGCGATCTCGCCCAACCCGCGCTTGATCGCCAGCTCGATCACTTTCTTGGTGATGCTCATCTTCTTCGCCTTTTCCACCAACGTGTCCAACAGGGCGTTGGCGTCGGCGCCCCCCATCCGCACCAGCGTCTCGATCTTGGTCGCGAGCTGGTACGCGAGCTTCAGCCGCTTGGCGTCGTTCTTCGCCTTGTCGTGGCGGATGTTGGCCCACTTGGAGTGGCCGGCAAGCCGGGTCGAAGTGGTGCTAAGGCGGCGGAGCAGCACGAGGCGGAGCGACATGGCGACACAAGCGATGGTCGCGCGCACATCACCACCGCCAATGACAACAACGACGACAACAACAACCGCCCCGTAGACAGCACCCCCGCCGTAGCATGCCCCTAACCGTCTTTAGGGTTGTTTTCGGTTTCATTGGCGTGGTCGCGGTAGAAGTGTTGCCAGAACTGGCTGGGGTCGTCGAACTGGGCGCCGACGTCGGCGCCGTCGCGCAAGTGGCGGTCCAACTGGGCCATCTTGACGCCCACCCGGTCCATCAACGTCGCAATCTCGTCCAAGAGGAGCTGGCGGCACCGGACAAACTCGGGGCTGGCACTGGCACTGGCGGCATCATCACTCATGGCAATTACTGTGTGTATATCCACCCTCGGGCGCGCGTTTGGCGCCGCACCCCGCCGCGGGCGCGCCCTAGATCGGGTGATTGATCTCCACCACCGCCGCCAAAAGCTGGCGTAAAGACATTGTTGTTAAGCCATGACTGCTGCCACGCCGTTCGAGGTCATCGACACGTTCCGGGTGAAGGAGTACCTCTGCCACCGCCTCCAGTTCCGCTTGCCGTTGGTGTACGCCACGGGAAACGCCCACGGCGGCGACACCATCGCCGTGGTGTGCCAGGTGGTCCAGAAGTATAACGACAGCGACGACTTTGCCATTGGCGACAATGCCAAGCTTGTGTGCTACCTCCAAGGCGGTCCGGGGGGGCTGTGCGCTCCGTTTAGCGGGGGCGGCTACGTCAAGGTGTTGGTGGACAAAGGGTACACGGTGGTGTTGATGGACCAGCGGGGCACCGGGTGGCTGACCCCCATCGAGCCGGCGACACTCTTGGCGCGGGCGGGCGCCGACGCCGACGCCCAGTTGCGCTACTTGCTCAACTTCCGCGCCGACCTGATCGTCGACGACGCCGAGCGCATCCGCCAGGCGCTCATCGGCGCCGACCCGTGGACGCTCTTGGGCCAGCTGTACGGCGGCTTCTGCCTGTTCACCTACCTCTCCAAGTACCCTCAATCGGTGACGGCGCTGTTGATCACCGGCGGCGTGCCCCCCATCGGGTTTACCGCCGACGACGTCTACGCCGCCACCTACGCCCGCACCGCCGAGCGCAACCGCCACTACTACCGCAAGTACCCCCAGGACGCGGCGCGCGTCCACCGCATCTGCCGCTACTTGGCCAGCCACGACGTCGCCGTCCCCAACGGCGGCCGCCTCTCGGTGGAACGGTTCCAGCAGTTGGGCATCCGTTTTGGTGCCTCCGGCGGCACTGACGCCGTCCACCACGTGGTGGCGAAGTTTGCCCACGACCTTGAGGTGTTGGGCCACCCCACCTACGAGTCGTTGTTATCGGTGCAGAACCTGGTGTCGTTCGACACCCTGGTGCTCTACGCGCTATTCCAGGAGAACATCTATAGTGACGGCGCCGGCGACGCCCAGCTGCCGCGGTGGGCGGCGCACCGGGCGCGCCCGGCGCTGTTTGTCTACCTGCCCGACCAAGACCACGTCCAGTTCACGGGGGAAATGGTGTACCCGTTCATGTACGACGACTACGCCGAGCTCCGCCCGCTTAAAGCCGTTGCTGAGCGCCTTATGGCCTACGACGACTACTCGCCCTTGTACGACGTCGCCACGTTGCGCGCCACTTCGGTGCCCATCGTCGCCGCCACCTACGTCTACGACCAGTACGTCGACTTTGACCTCACCCGCAAGGTGAAGGAGACGGTGTTTGGCGGCAACGGCAACTTGAAGCAGTACGTCACGCTGGAGTTCTTCCACAACGGCATCGGCGCCAACCCGGAAAAGGTTATCGGCACCCTTCTTCAGCTCCTCAAACAAGGCGAAGTCGACTAAACCTCCCAATAGCATATTCAGCAATATAAACGAAGATTCTAGGCATCGACAACACATAGCCATTACCATGGGTGGAAGATGCAACGAACGATCCCCTGCAAGTCTAGCGTGGGACAAGATCATAATTTTGACACCTAGTTAGTATTATTCTAAAATTAACTGATCAAAACATCAACGAATAGGCAAAATAATTGGCAATGTAGTCTGAAGCTTGGAGTCGTGCCATCCTCAAAAAGTGAAATATGTCGTGCGCTTACCTAAATATCTAAATCGAAACTGAAATTTCACAAATGAATTTCAGTACCTCGTACGGCAAACCCCACGACAAAATAACGCCGACTTCGTCAGATTGCAAGTATTTTTAGACGCTTTTGAGTCTTCTTTGAATACACGGTAGGGTCAATGGTGGTAACAACGCACTATGCTAATTTCCCTCTATTGTCATCACCGTAAATTAATAGCACATAATTTCCCGCAGGTGTTGCCCGCCTGCGTGCGCCCCGTCCCTTACTGGCACATCGCACTACAGCTCTAAACTTGCGGACCCTTAAAAGTCCGGAGCGCTTCGGAACCCAGGCTAAAATCCCCCCAGCAATTAATCACAGTCCAAGTTGACTGTGAGTCAACCATGGGTGAGCCATGGGGTTAAGCAAGAGACCAATGGTGGCCATTAACGGCGTGTGTGAGGCGTTTCGTCGAGTATGTCGTGCGTTTATGATAGATAGGGTACGTCGGTTGTGCGCTGATGTAAGCGTCAAATGCGTCGAATATCACGAGCCCTGGGCCAAAGACACCCCCCCTCCGAAAACGAAAGCTATATTAAACCCACACCTACTGCCCTGGGAAACTCAATTCCAACACCTAACCCATGTCCGTCCTCACTCGACCCACCATCGTCGTTGTCGGGGGCCTGTTTGCCGGGGTATCGGTGGTGAAACAGGTGTTCCAGCAACTGTCGCCCGCCCGAGTGATCCTAGTGTCGCCGCTGCAACAGACTTATAACAACACGCTGGCTCCCAGGCTTCTTGTACGCCCGGAGCTCGCCCCACAGGCGTTGGTCGACCTCACTCGCCTCGACCGCCGCAAGGGCGACCACGACTTCAACTTGGTCATCGGCAAGGCGACGAGCCTCGACGTCAATCTGTCAAAACTCCACCTCTCCAACCGGGCCGATCCGATCAGCTACGACTTCTGCGTGGTGGCGACGGGGCAGCGCAGCGGCAACGCCGCTTTTAAGGCCAACGGCGACGTCACCAGGCTGGTGGAGTCGATCAAAGAGATGAACGACGCCATCAAAAGCGCCCGCCGCATCTGTGTCGTCGGCGGCGGCTCCACCGGGTGCGAAGTGAGTGGCGAGATCACGCTGACATATCCGGAAAAGCTGGTGACGTTGGTCACCGGCGACAAGTTGGGTCCGCTCTCGATGTTTGGCGCCAAAATTGCTCGGGCCGCCGAGAAGCGGTTAGCCGGCTTAGGGGTCGATGTCGTCAACAAGTTGGCCAAAGTCGACGGCAACCGCGTCACCTACGACGGCGAGGTGAAGCCCCACGTGTTTGATTTGGTGATCCCGACGTTTGGCTATACCCCCAACACCGACTTTGTGCCGAAGCAGTACTTGGACCGGCGCGGCTACATCGTCGTCGACGACCATTTCAAAGTCAAGGGCACCGACACCGTGTTTGCCATTGGCGACTGTGCCCTGTTGACGTCAAAGCTGGCCGCCGACGTCAACATGGTCCAGCTGCTGGTGATGTTGAACACGATCCGGCGCGAGATGTTTGGCGAGAACATCCCCGCCAAGGCGTACAAGCCGACGCCGCCCACCAGTCTTGTACCCATCGGACCCAACGGCGGCGTCGGCGTACTCTGGGGGTATAAGCTCCCCAGTTTCGCCGTGTGGTTCACCAAGGCGCGAGACTTCACCATTCCCGAATCCAAGGATTTATTAAGTTAGAGGCTACAACTCGACCACATTGGTCGAAACTGTTCAATCAAAAGCCAAGTCTGTGAGTCCAATTGATGAACGAAGTTGTAATATCGAGGTAGGCCAGGAATAAACATAGAGAATCGATATAATAAAAGTTAAACCGTGCTAACCATTAGAACAAGCACTAACTACGTAAGGTAAGATAGATGAAATCTTTAAATCAAATGGTAAGAATGAGATTGCTACAAGGATGACAGTTACACCAAATGCAGAACTAGATGGTTCATATGGACCATCTTTCTCTGTGGATAGGTTCTCACTGGATATTGAGTAGTATAATATAATTAATACTAAGCTATAATTAAGTACATAGTAAACATATCAATTACTTAGTATTGTGTATTGTCTACGACGCAAACGCGTAGTCCTTGGCGAGCCACTTCGACAACATGTCGAGGGAGTGTTGTGGCTGGTCGGCGGGGACCATGTGCCCCGCGTCAAACACCCTGAGGAAAGTAAAGTGGTTGTAGTTGGTGGCGACGCCGGCGGGATTCCCCTCGGCCGTCACCCACGGGTGGGGCTGGGCCCGGGCAAACCCGTCGTGGCCCTTCCACGCAAGCAACTTCGTCCACGCCTCGTTGCCCAACCAGTTACAGATCCAGTCCTTGTCGCCGGCGTAGACGAGCACGGGGACGTCGTGGTCGAGCAACTCGGCGACAAACCCTTGGAAGGGGCGCACCCCGTCGGCGGTGTCGCCAAAGGCGTACCCGACACTGTTGTTGCACGGCTGGAACAGCGGCACCTGGGCGCCTACTTGGCGGATGACGTCGGGCTGCAGGAGGAACCGGGTGACGTAGTCCATGCGGGCGTCACAGAGGTCGCTCCCAGCACTGCAGTTGACCCTGATATCGTAAGGGCTGAGCCCGGTGGCCAAGAACGGCTTGTGGTACAAGTTGGAGCACACCTCGCCGGCGATGCGGCACACCACCAAGTTAGGGAAGTCGTAGCAGAGCTCGACCGCCTGCTGGCACGCAGGAGTGCCGGCGGCCATGTCCCGGCACTGTTGGGGCGACACCACCGCGGGCTCGCCGCCGAGGCCACACACCATCGGCTGGTAGTAGGGCCACTGGACGAGGCTGTCGGTGATGCCGTTGCCGATGAGGACCGAGGTCAAGTTGAAGGAGCGTTCCGGGTGGTGCAAGATCTCGCTGGCGAAGGCGGGGACGTAGTGGCCGCCGTAGGACTCGCCGGCGATGTGGAACTCTCTCCCCTGGAACTGGGGGAAGCGGGCAAAGAAAAGTTCGAGAAAGGCGTAGACGTCCTTGGCGGCGGCATAGGTCAGGTTGTGGTACTCCAGGGGGTCGTCAGTATACGAGTACCCCACCCCCACCGGCTGGTCCAAAAAGAGCACCAGGGCGTTACTATTCCACGAAAAAGGATTGAACTCGGGCACGATGCTGGCGTTGATGAACGACGGGCCCAACTCGCCAAAGAGACCGAGCAGCGACGAGCACCCCGGCCCGCCGTTGAGCCAGAGGATCACGGGGTCGGTGGCGGGGTCGCCGCGGGACTCAAAGAACCAGTAAAACAAGTGCTTCAGCAGCAGTTCGACGTCTAAGTAGCCGGTATAGGAGTTGACGTCGTCAAACTTATACTTGGGTTTCAGGGAGTCCAAGGGGTGGACGCGGAGGGCGTAGTCCGGGAAGGCGTCGAGGGTGGTGACGGAGCCGGTGGTGGCGGGGCTAGGGTCGTCGCCGGCGACGTCAAAGCCGTCGTAGACGGCGGCGGCGAGGGTGGTGGCGACGGAGGCGAACCAGGCGAGCTTCATCGCGTGTGTGTCAGCGGCTACGTCGTAACCATTATCGCTATTATATATATCTATACGGAGTACCCCCCTCGCCTGCACCTGGGCCTGACCAAGGGGGGTCGAAAATAGTACAAGAACTGGCGTTTACAACCGGAAAACTCGCTACCATTTTGGAGGTACGACTACGGAAGCCGCCAGCACCGTCGACGGGTGTCAATTGGCCGTCTACACGCACAAGTTTCTGACAATTACGTCGTGTGGGGATTGCTTATCGCGTCGCCGTCTCACGGGGGTAAGCCGTGTGCGAGTACGGCACCATGGCCACCCCCCGGACAAGGCGCCAGCCACAGTTTAGGCGTATCGTTATAATCTCTAAGACACATTCGTCTAAGGCACCAACCCACACCACAGCCGGAAGCGGTCAGTGCTTGTCGATAGCAATGCCCGACACCCAAAACTATATTTCGTCAGTGGAAACCACTAAACAGACGATTTTTCAGCCTTAACCCACGCCGTAATGGCACTGCAACCACCCCTGCTTTGTGATGGCTAAGCCCTGTGCCTCGGACCATTGCTAAGGTTACTTTGTTTGTGTTTGTGTCACCTCTGCCTCAGCCGTATACATCGATCCGGGATCCGATATCGCTCCGATCGAGGCCAGGCAAGCGTGTGCCAGGTTTGCGCCACTCTAAGCCACCAGCCGAGATCGGAGTACCCATACTTCAACACGGGGAGCGTCGTACGGGCCAGATACGGGCCAGTTTCGGCATGTTGCCCGAATCGTTCGTCAGTTTACGGAGTAAGGCATCGCACCACACGGATATAAGGCCGCTCCGTCTAAAACCACACCAACTCCGCTGGCAAAATCATATATAGTGCCGCCCGAGACGAACCCCGTGCCCCCTACTCAACATGACGGCGCCTCCGCTTACCTTTGTCGTCGTTGGCGGCTCGTTTGCCGGCGTGGTGGCAGTGCGAGAGCTCTTGAGCCGGCCCACCCCACTAAAAGTGGTGTTGGTGACGTCGCTGGTCAAAGCCTACAACAATGCTGCTGCTGCCCGGCTTCTTGTCCGCCCCGAGCTTACCCCGCAGACGTTGGTGGACCTCAATCTCCTCAGAAAGCGCCAGGGGGCTCACCAGTTCGAGATCGTCGAGGCGATGGTAACGTCAGTAAATGTTGACGCCAACCACGTCGTCGTCAGCGACGGCCACCGCATCGACTACGACTACTTGATCATCGCTCTGGGCACCCGCTACCAGATGGCGGCGTTCAAGCCGTTTGGCGCCGTGTCCGCGGTAAAAGACTCGGTCACCACCACCGCCGCCAACATCAAGAAGGCCGATACTATCTGTGTGGTTGGGGGCGGCCCCACCGGGTTGGAGGTGGTGGGGGAAATCGGGCTGGCGTACCCGGGAAAGAAGCTCACCTTGGTCGTGGGCCAGCGGGGGCCGGTGCCCCGGTTTGGCGCCGGCGTGGTGAAAACGGTGTACGACAAGTTGAGCCGGTACAACGTCACCGTCGTCGAGGACTACGCCACCGTTAGCGGCAACACCGTCGAGTATTTGGGCGAGAGCCACCACTTCGACCTCGTCATCCCCACGTGCACCCACGTCGCCAACACCGGGTTCCTCCCCCCTGACTACGTCAACGACCACGGCTACGTCGACGCTGACCGCCATTTTAGAGTCAACGGCACCGACAACGTGTTTGCCTTTGGCGACTGCGTCGAGTTCACCACCAAGACGGCGATCGACATCAACGGCCGCCAGCACCAGGTGCTCAAACAGACGCTCCTGCGGCAGGCGTTTGGCGACGACGTCCCGCTTAAGGAGTACCGTGAGGGGGCGATCTCGTTTGCCGTCCCCATCGGCCCCGGGGGCGGCGTCGGCTACGCCTTTGGCTGGCGCCTCCCCAGCTTCATGGTGTGGGCGATGAAGGCGAGAGACTTCACCATCGGGCGGTCCGAGAAGATTCTTAGCTAGGCCTATTTGGGATTGTTAATCTAATGGTTGCGTACAGTTCGTGCGTAGTAGCATCAGTTCGCTATTCCTAGAAAGGTCAGAGTGAAACTACAATTTTATTACCCAAGCCTAATGTAGCACCACTCAAGCCTAAGTTGACATTCGTGTGTTTTCGATTCTTACAAGCATTAGAGTAACGATTAGTTATTGTAGCACGCCCTTGTGTTACCCGCACTATCAAAGTAACCGTCAAACACTATAACACAAATAAAATAGAGAAAACCCATTATCAATCAGATCCAACTGAAAAAGACATGGAGCCAAACAAATGCTGAAAAGCATGACTGATGCTCCCATTTAATTCATTAGGGTCCCACCGTTATTGACGACGGCATCACTGGTCCACGTGACTTGAGCGGTCGCGCCGCTTGATTTACCACTGACCACCCTTAGCACCCGACCCCACCAGACAAACCCGGGTCGCCCCACCTTGATGATCATCACCCCTGACTTGGTTAAGCCGTCATTGAATAGCAAACCCGTCATCTGGAAAGAGCTCGGCGCCTACATCGACCAGAAGCTCCACGTCACCCGCGGCGACCCCTCGATCACCCTCGACACCCTCGTCGCCTACAAGATCTGCAACAGCTGCCAGCGCCCCATCGGCAGTGCCCTGCTTGGCGACCACTACCACAAGTGTATGGAAATGAGACAGCGGCTCAAGGACGAGACCGGCGAGACCCCCGTCCCCGCCGCCACCGCCGCCACCGCGCTGAAGCGCAAACGGGGCCGCCCCGCCGACGACCCGCTGAGCGCCGACTCCACCCGCCAGCTGACCCCGGTGGCCCCGGCATCCAGTGCCAACGACCGCCCCAAGAAAAAGTACAAGAAGCTGGTGGCGCAGAAGGAGAAGGAGGGGAAGAAGAAAGAGGCGCGCAAAAAGCTGACGAAACCCAAACCCCCCGCCAAGGACAAAGGCCCCGTCGATGTCGAGAAGCAGTGCGGGGTGCCGTTGCCGCTGGGAGGCCACTGCAAGCGGTCGCTCACCTGTAAGACCCACTCGATGGGGGCGAAGCGCGCGGTGCCGGGGCGGTCGGCGCCGTACGACGTGTTGTTGCAGCAGTACCAGAAACGCAACCAGGCAAAGCTTGCGGCGCTGAACGCCCTCGCCGTCCAGCAGCGCGAGAACCAGGAGTTGCGCGACGACGACGTCTTCACCCAGCGCGTGCTCGACCCCGATGAAGAGACCCACATGGTGCTCGAAGGGTTGTCGAAAAACACCCCGTTCCCGTTGGAGCGCCACGTCATCATGCCCTTGCGCCGCCGCCAGAAGTTCCTCGCCCGCCGCGAGGCCTATGCCAACGCCCTCATCATCCTGGGCAACAACCAACCCCAGAAGAGCAACGGCCTGGATGCCGGCGCCCCCGACCAGACGTTGGCCAACCAGGCGATCCTGGGGCTGATCGGCGGCCTCCAGGGCCGCTGCGCCTTGATCAACGTCGACCTGCCCCTGGAGCTGACCCAGCTGTACCTGCTGATCCCGGGGGAAATGTACCAGGTGCGGGCGCCGCTGAAGGCGATCTCGATGACGGCCCAGTACAACCAGATGCAGCAGCAGGCGTTCCAGCAGACGTTTTTGCGCTACCAGCAACAGCAGCAGCAGTTGGCCCAGTTGCGCCAGCAGCAGGCTTCGTCGGCAAGTCAGTAAAGGGCATCACCCTCCGCCCTGAACCCCCATTGATTGGGTCGTTTCCGGTGGCAGTTGGGTCTATTTTTATCGCATGAGTAATCGTATACCATTTAATTTCGACAGCTTAAAGCAGAGACAATGTAGGCTGACCATCGGATCGATGAGTTATTTGAGGATACAATTGTCTATCAAATTGCAAGCTGCTAGCGAGGGCATTTTGAACCATCTTCGTGGTATCTTCCACCTCTGCTATAATCCATATAGTGTAAGTTGATGGTGAGAAACTTAGGAACCCTACGCATCAGATAATAAAATACGGTATTGTGGTGGCCAAGTATAAGTATATAACATAAAAATATTGGATGGAACGTATCGAAATGAAAGTGTTTGACAAGTCACCACTAATGACCAGACTTAGCAACGATTACGGTATCTGACAAGCGTAGCTACTCTCGGAGGAGGTGTATTAACTATAGTCTCGTAAATCTCGGTTTGCGCGAGGGTCTATTTCCTTATTAAATGTAAAATTGGTAGTGGTGGTTGAATGCAAAGAAAAGTGTTATTGTATGATCAACGCCGTGACCTCACCGGTGAGTTCACGGACCAAAAGCGACGACGCCGCCTGCTTGGATAAGGTGTGGCGGATGCGGTCGCCGACGTCGCCGAGGCCACCAGCCCCAGCGGCGCCGTGGGCGACGAATATTTTGAGAATACGAAGCAACGACACCTGGACGACGACGTTGGCCTGGTGCTCGTGCATTTTGTGCAAGATGGAGTTGATGATCCCCGGATCGTAGAGGGCCGCTACCAACTTCGGGTGGGCGGCGAAGAGCCGGTAAAACGCGTCGACGGTGGCCTCGATGTTGGCCACTTTGGGGAGAAGGAACCCGCGGCGGAGACAGTCGACGGCTTGGGACAGCTCGACGGCAATGCTGCCGTCTTTGCCCTGCGACCAGTGGAGCAACAGGTCGAGGGCGTTGCTCTGCCAGTAAGGGTCAAGCACGAGCTGCCAGTACACGGGCAACGCGTTGTGTTGGCGGAGCTCGTCGCGCACCAGGTCGTCGCAGTGGACCAACTCGCAAAAGATGGGGAGAATGAACTGGCGCGAGTGGAGCTTCAGCAAGGCCAATTCTTTGAGGTAGGGCACCGCTCCGAGCGCCACAAGCTCGGTCTCGCGCCGGTGGTTCAAATAGCAGCAGTTGTAGAGGATGGGGGCGACGCTGTTGATGATCTTGTCGAAGTCGCTCAGGGTAGTGGCAGTGGTGGTTTCCAAAAGCCGGTACAAGAACTCGATGATCTCGGCCTTGTAGAGCCGGGGGAGAATGTCGCCAATGCATGACATCTGCTTGAAAAACTTGAGGATGTTGAGGCGGCGGGTGATGTCGACGTGGTGGAACGTTTTGATGAGGATTTTGAAAAGGTCGGTGTGGGCGATGTTGATGCGAACCCGCGGTTCCAGTACTGAGAAGAACAGGAACACCTCCATGGCGTGGGTGATCGCCGCGTTAACGTCGGCGTCAGTGATGCCGTGGCCCGGGGGGATGGTAAAACCCGGACGCGTAAGCCGGTGGAGCAACACCGCCATCCAGAACACCACCCCGTACTTCAGCAACACCCGGCAAAAGTCGCTTTTCAGCGGCACCAAATTCAGGACAAAGATCGAGTGTAGGCACTCCACCAGCACCAACGGGTGGAGCGGGTACAAGTCAAAGTCGTCCTCGACAAACTTCAGCACCACGCGGAGACCCCCGCTCAGCACGAGCATCAGCAACGCCTTATCCAGGGGGCCCACGACAAAGAGGCGGAGAAATTTCACCACCTGGGTGCGTACGGGAGGGTCATACAGCGGCTGGCGCAATTGGAACACCATGGGAATGCCGCCAAGAAGGCAGAAGTTTTCCAAAAGTTCCGTCAGCGGCAACGCCGCTGCTAAAAGATGGTTGACGATGACGACGACGTGGTACCACACTTTCCCCTGTTTAGGAAGTTCGGGCGCCAACTCCAAGAGCTCCAAAAGGCTGAGGAAGCCGTGCTCGCGGACAAACGTGGGGTGGGACGCCGGGTATTTGCGGACGATGTGCAGCATGCGCGAGGTGATTTTGACCAAAGATGCCCACTGCGAGTCGTCCTCGGCGTACTTCAACGCCGCGACTCGCTTCGTGAATTTAGTAAGCAAAAACTCCATTTTCATCTGCACTTCGAGTTCCTTCAGGTCGTACACTTCGATTTCTAGCTTCAGAAACGGGTCGTCGTCCGCCAGCGGTGGCGCGGGTGTGGCGAGAGGGGGAGGTAACGTGCGGTCGACGTCGACCCCCAGCAAGATGCGGGTGGTATGGAACTCGTTATCCTCGGAAAACCGCTCGAGGAGCGTCTGTTTGGGAACGTCGGTAGGCCTTTGCGGCGTGCTGGCATCCACGGTTATCACCGGGGCCGGTGCCAGCGACGGGGCTGGTAATGATGGCGCCAGCGCCGGTGGGGCCGCCGGTCCCCCCACCGGACGAAGGCGCACGATCTCCCGGCCAAACTTGAATGCATTCTTCTCTTTGGGAGTAGGCGGGTCCAGCGGGGGTGGCAATTGTAACTGGGGCGGGCGTGATGGTGGGGGCTTAAGCATGGTGGCCCCGGCAAGCTGCGGGTTCAAATTGTCTCCGGGGAGGTCAAAGTCGCCGTCCCAATTGTCTTCGTTAGCCTCCAGGTACTGGGGGAGCGGGCGCGCCTGGGCCAACTTGCGGTACCCTTGCGTTTCTGACGCCACCGGACGAGCGGTACTGGTAACCGCGACCCCGTCCGCGAGCCAGGGGTGCTTGAGAAGCTGGGTGGCGCTGCTGCGCAAGTTGGGGTGCTTTTGGAAGCACTCAAGGAGGAAGTCGCGGGCTAACGTCGACACCCCTTTGGGGAGCGGCGGGTGGTCGTCGGTCAGGATGGCGTGGAGGGTGGCCATGGGGTTGCGGTCGTGGTAGGGGGGGTCGGTGGTGAAGAGCTCGATGATGGTGGCGCCAAGCAGCCAGATGTCCAGCGCGGTGCACAACCCCTCGCCCCCCATCACCGTCTCCGGCGCCATCCAGTTCGGGGTGCCGACGACGGTAGGGTACTGGGTGCTCACCAGCGCCGCCACCCCGAAGTCGGCGAGCTTGATGTTGC